AACAACTCAAGCAGCGTTCCATCTTTTCTCCATCAAAGGTGTTGCACAGGGCGGCTTTCTTAGCCACCTTCAGTTCTGCTCCATCCCCTCCCGCTTACTCCAAGCTCTTCCTTTTGTAGGAGCAACCACCACGCCGAAGGTACAATGCCCATCTTAGCCAAATGCTTTGTCCTGGCCAGCACAAGGGGGAACAGGTGAGCATAGCACATGACCCTTTCCCTAGCAGAGGGTGGAATACGGTTCAAGTACAACAAGGAGGCCGTTTCTTGCACATAGATTTCCATGACCTTTGCAGAAATCCACCGCCCCTTCCGTCTGGTGTATTCACCATCTTCTGTCATTTGAAGGTGCCATGTTGCACCACCCGAGCGAAGGCTGCCTGGATCTAACGCTTTCATAGTGTCAATTTTCTGTGTGGGGAGCAACAATGCTTGAAGTACATCTCTAAAGCGCGTCCGGAAAGTTTGGCCTGACCAAGGCCATAGCTTATCTACGGGAGCTAAAGCACCCCAACAAAAATCTGCCACTTCAAGAAGATCCGGCACATCCAACTTTGCTGCTTGGTGCTTGGCGCCTGTGCGCCTTGTCTTAGGTTCTGGAATAGAAAGCAGGCCAAAAACAACTGTGTTGTCTACATCTCGTGGTAGCAGGAGGTCCGACCTACGTGCAGAAAGTATTTCTCCAGGACGACAAAGAGCACCCCAGCCAAAAGCTAGGGCACCTGCAAAATGTGTCCAACCCCAGGTCAAACTCACAACTATCATGGCCAGTAAAACCTGCCATGGCATTGCCACGTGATGAGCCCCTGGCTCAGCATGCAACCACGAGAATGCAACATCCCACGCCCCTTGCATCAATCGTCTCAATGCAGGCTTCTTTGTGGTCAAGGTGTTAATGGTCTCTGCAAATTGGTTATACGGTTTACCCGCCAAATACAGCACCCTGCCGTAGTGAGAAACAATGGCATTTATATCATCAATATATGTGACATGCTCACTCAACAATGACTCAACAACGCAGCGAAATCAATATTCTCTGTTCTCAGCCAGTCCTCGAAGTGCCGCCAATAGCGATCTCGCAGTCTTCCAGTCTGAGCCAACGTCGGTCGGCCTTCAGGGAACAAACCAGCTTCTCGACGCTGAGCCGCACGAAGGGCTTCAGCGCGTGTTGTAGGTTCCATGGCTTCACATGGGAGCACCCAACAGCCAGCCAGCACCCAGAAGCAAAGCAAGAAGGGGGAGAAGCGCGAAAGCGAGATGGAGGAGCAAGGCCGGACAGCGAGGAGGAAGCTGAAAAGGAATGCGATGAAGCGGGAAAAACCCAACGGCAAAATCCACAAAAAGGCTGATGAAAATGCCAAAAGACCAAGCCGCACATAGAGGAGCCAAGACGTGGATGAACTGATGCTAGATGGCCCTTCGCCGGGAAAACCCAAGGTGCAATCGAAATCCATCGAGGAGGCATCCAGACGTTGAACTGTCACTGCTGCGGTCAAATAGGCCTGACTTTGGCATAGGCAATCTAGCACAGAAGCTCTCAGGGGAAAAACCCCAAAATGCCAGGGCGAATAAGCAACACAAGGCGAAGCCAATTGGATGCCCATCTGCGTGTCGGCCTGAGGAGTGCCATATGCCAGATCTCATCATTTGACAGGTCGATCGAATTCAAACCTGACACCGGAGAGCGTAGCTCATGGTCTCGAGTTGGGTCGTCTGCACAATTGAGCCTCGTCGGGCAAAAAGGTGTGACCATGTAGAGTCCAAAGGCCACCATAGCGGAGATCCTCCTCAACACGCTCGAGATTGCACGGGAGGCTGAGCGGCCTTTCCCCAAAGCACACCTGGCAACATTGGAGTCGACCAGATTCAGAAAGCGTCTCTGCCCTTCCTTTGCTTTGAGTTCCACCAGCCTTTCGACCGACTTCAGCTCCAAAAGGTTGATGCGTGACTCCTTTTTGAACCGCCACGCTTTGACCAACTGCCAAGGCCGGGTCAACATGACCTCATTCACCAGCTGATTCTCAAGCCCGGAGACATCGTCCTTCTTTTGATCTGCCCTCGCTTCCCGGAGAGAGAAGATGGAATGAGCAAAAGACCATGCTAAAGCTGCTGCTAGCTCTGGCGTGTAAATTGCCGAGGACTTGGTGAAGACGCCCTGAACCGGCACATGACGACAACTACCGTCACACCTCCTGGCAATCGTTCTTGTATCCAGATTCAAGCAGACCATGGCAAATGACTTTTGATGTATTGAGCCGTACTGGCAGGAGTCCATCCTAACCTCCTCAATCCCCGGCAATGTCAGGAGCCTTTGGTAGGGCGGCAGGAACTTGCTCACAGCTGTGAACGGCCTCTCAAGAAGTCCAGCAATCTGATGCCTGGCAGCCTTGTACATGATCTGTAGCGCTCGAAGGAAGAGGACATTCCCGAGGTGTGTCTTAGGGTCAGCCGGATTGAATCCATAAGGTACCCCACGACTCCTCAAAGCAGGCCGCCTGATGATGCTATAAGTTGTACAAGGAGGCTCCAATGCAACTGCAAGCAACCGGCCAGACTCGATGAGGAAATATATCCACGACAAAACATGCAGCTTCGTTAAGTCAAACTCCTCAGAAAAGGAAATGTCCAGGGGTGGACCAACAACCACACCCAAAGCCGCTATGGCCCTGGAGATTCGTGACGACCCCGCAAAGATCTCAATGAACTCAAAGCTGAAGGCCAGAGATCTGGCTATCGTGGATCCACAAGTGGTTTCCCCACCTTGATCTGGCCAACATGAACCGTGATCCTGAGAATAATCCTCAACACCGTCTGAAGCAGCATGGAGCCGGGTATAAGCCCCCTTTGTCCGACATGTCTTGAAGAGGAGTTGGACAACTCCAACCGGCAGACTTGTGGCACAGATAGCACCCTTTTTCTCAGAAGCATCAGTGGCATAGATGCACTCATCAAAGGCAACTGCAACATCACTGAGGATAAGAGGAGCCAGAATAGCAACCAATGTCAACTCTGTGGCAACATCCCGTGGAAGAGGAATCAATGCACTGTCATCATAATCCTCAAAATCCTCGACAAGCTTGAAGGCCTCGTTTAGTAGGCCCATCATAGGCCGCCGATAAAGGAGCATGCTCCAACTATGCAGCGGTGGAGAGAGGTGGTGGTGTACGCCAAAGAGCGAACCTGCAAAGTCAGAAATGAAAGGGACAGTCTCTTGCCAGCAGGAGCACCAATAGTACAAACTCCATTTTTTACAGCCTCAGGCCCACCATTATTGATGTAGGCCCCAATGACCTTCCCCTCGTGCGCCGCTCTGACGTCTTTCTCGGGAGATCCCAGCAGCTTGTAGTCCTCATAGGCCTGTTGGGCTGTCTGGTATGACTTGTAAGACTGAGAGCTGGGCGAGGGGATGTCATGGTCGTCTATTGATATGCTGAAGAAATCATCGATGACCAAGCCTTCACAACGTGTAGCACTCACGCAGGGACGGTTGGCGACCAACTGGACTCCCTCAGACAGCAAACCATAGCTCTTCAAGAGTCGACTGTGGGCGTCGGTGGCAATCTCGACTCCCCCGTGGTCTCCTTGAAGAATGCTCTGAAAGCTTGCCCAAAGTAAGTCACCCTTGCTGCTCACGCCACTGCTCATAGCCAGTCTGTCGCCGTGACGAGCCCTGGAGTACTTTGTCTTGGCGTTGTTGAAGAGGAAGTGTTGGTAAGCAGCTGTATCTTCAACCAAGGACACGGGCAAACCTGGACCCAAAGTATTGGAGGCCGCACGAGCACGTGTAACCCAGATCTGATGGTAAAAAACTCTTCTGTCCGAAACCGACGCATGGATCCGTTGACAGCGAAGGTCGACCACCAGGTCACAAAGGTCCTGGCCAGCGGGAAGGTTCGAAGATGGGCCTCTGAGAACACCTTCAATGGCGTTCCGACCACGACGATCGCCGATCTGCCTGTCTTTGTCAATGGCTTTGTAGCAGTTGAACACACGCACCAACTCAAAAGACTGCCTTGTAGCAACACGGTCCTGATGCAACAAAAGTAGCCCTTGACGATCCCACAGGTGCGCTAACTCAGCTACTGTACCAGCATCGTCACGGATCCTCGGGTATTCCCAAGAAGCAGGTGTTCTCTCCAGCTTAACAGACTCAGGCTCACGGTAAGCCATGACAAGGCTGTCCCCAAGAAACTCTGTCACGTCCCAATGTCCACGGCCATGGAGCACGATTCGACTCGGGTCAAGGTCCCGGTAAGGTTCCAGCTCAGGATATCGACTATTGTCCTGAGGGACATTGCATCCAGCGAAAACTTTCGAATAAGGTGAGGCAGAACAACCCAACTTCGTGAGGAGCTCAGTCACCTCAATCAAGCGTGCAAAAAGCTCTGGATTCTTACGACCAACATGCAAGGCATCAAAAGTTGCAATGAGGCCGTCCGACTTGATAAAGGCTCGAATGCGCCTGTAGAGAGCACGATGGGGCGCACCCGGACCTCTCTGCAAAGCTGACTCATCCACAAAACTGCCGCCAGAGTGCCAGAAGTTGAGAGCCATACAGATCACATGAACTGCACGCGCCAAACCAATAGCTCTCCTCCGACTGCTAGAGTTCTTTGCAGGCATCCTATCAAAGCAAACCAAGGACGGCGAAGGCGTCCTCAAGGTCAAACGCCTAGCTGTACTGATGGAGAAAGCAAGAAAAGAAGCAAAAGCTGTACGAGTCCTCAATACCAGAGTGATCAACTTGGAACACCACATTGGGAAGCTGATATGCCTGACATTGCTGTGCTCAGACTCGTTCAGTGCGTCCGGAGGACAGGATTGAACCTTCGGAAGACCGGCAACATCACCAGCCTTCGGAACTGAATTGAATTCGACCGAAGAAGTGACATCGCTCATTGCTGAGACTCCCCTGGCCCTTTCGGCTTCTTGGGGAATTTGGGCTTGCGCCTTGGACTGGGCGACTCTTCCTCGTTCTTGGGGCTTGCAGCTTGACCCTTCTTTCCCCTTGTTTCCAGCCTTCGGGTTTGTAGCACGTCGATCTCCTTCAGATAGGCCAAATTGATAGTGGCCAATGTAGGAGGGATCAGCGGAGCAAAGGGCCGGCCAGCAGAAGTGATTGACTGCATTTGGTCTTGAAAGAGCACTTGAGGTGGGTCCTCGATGAGGGACAAAACGTAGGCAAGCCCCCAATCGCCGGCATCGAAAGCACTCTGTTCCAATGCCATCCCCCAGCGCTAAGTACTCTTTGGTAGCATAGAAGTCGCCCGCTGCTGCTGAATCCAAGGCGTGTGCGAAAATCCACATAGTCAGGCCCGCTTCCTTTTGGCCTTTGAACCCACCGTACCTCTCCAGGTAGGTCAACAGCGATGGGGCGTTCTTCTGCACCTCCTCCTCCGTTCTTGGGATCACCGTAGATGGATGAAGCCTCCGATAAATCTGCTGTTGTAACGCCAGGAAGAACGTGGACTGCCTGGATGCCAGATCTTGCTGCAGCTTCTCTCTTCTTTGAGTGCCTCTAGTAGAACTCGAGGCGGTTCCTCCTCCGTGATAGTCGATCCCGAAGCTGTCTCCTCCTCCCTGGACCAGGTGTGACACCAAAGCATTCAGAGCCACTGTCTGCTGGGATAGAATCTGTTCCTGGGGATCTGGAGGAGCCTTGAGAGGATCGTAAGGCTCGTCGAATTGCGGGAGAGCGGGACCAGAAATCACTGTGGGGATGCCCGCGTCCGTGGAGAGGGGCCCAGAAGCTGTAAAGCTTTGGCTGGAGACCGGGCAAGCCCGGCCGTCTGGAGCCCTTGGGAAACGGCTGGCATCTTTGGCACGGGACCCGAAGGGGCCAGGGCGGCATGCCCTCGCGCAGGAGTGGCATAGGGTCCACCATCCGCCTTGGGTAAGGCTTGTGCCCCTTCGAGGACCTGGGGCTGGTTCTGCTGGGCAGCAATCAATGAGACTTGAGTTGGATCTGCTCTGCAAGGGCGGCATTTGTAAGCCGCTTGGCAGCTGCCTTCTTGGGAGCTTGCTGTGTCTTTGGTGCCGGCTCTTCTCGAGCGCTGTAAAAATGGACTCTCCCGATCGTCTCTTGCTCAGCCCAAGACATCACCTGGGCAATGAGTGCACTGGTTGATGGCAGAGCTTGGAAATGAGCCTCGTGAAACCCTTTGATGTCTTCAGAAGAGTCCGTCACAGGGTCATATTCTCTGAGGTACTCAAGGATGTCGTTCGAGAAGTCCAAAACCAACACATCACTTCCGAAACCGGCAGGGAACTGAGCACCGGTTTCCTCATCTTCAAAAAGCATCTCAACTTCAAACATCTGGGCAGGGCCAATGAAGTCTCCCTCATCCACTGTCTCCGTTGATGAAAGGAGGCTCTCCTTCAAAAGGCCAATTGGCAAGGCTAGCATCATCCCTTTTCGTCTCGAAATCAATGGGATGGCAAAAGTCTGAATTCCATCACCACTTGCCGTCAGGTCACCCGGAAGGGAGAGGACAAGCAGAGTGTAGTCCGAACTGTTGGCTGCGAAGATCACTGACTGGCGGTCCATCGCCATAGCGGAGGCACAGCAATAGATGCTCCTGCGCAAAAGATGTGCAATTCAGTGAGCGTCGGGAACTTCTCCACAAACACAATGTCCGGGAAGGCTCTCTCGAGCCGATCTGAGTCTGCTTGGGTGGTTGTCCTGACAAAATCCAGGCCGTCACCTTTCCTCAATACCCAGTGAGTCCGAGGGGCCACTCCAGGTCTGTAGGTACTCTGGTAATCTGTGTGACAGGTCCAGAACGCTCGAAGCCAGAACCCTGCACGGTAGGCCTCACGGGCACGTTCCTCAGTCCCTGACTTGGACGAAGAGAGATGCTTCTTTGCGAGCTGGATGCAAAACTCTGGAGTCTCAGGGGGGCCCTGCTCGAAAGCAACGTGCGGAGGGTGCCTCAAAAACTCTTCTGGAACTCCCGGAACTGCTGTGCTTTCCTGAACCAACTCCCACTGCAAATTCCCTCCACTCCTCAAATCCAGATCAACACTACTAGAAGCACCACCTCGATGAGCGACAAGATCACGTGTGACTAGAGTGAGCTGCTGGATGGCTTGCGTGAGGTCTCGGAGATCCTGAGAAAGCCGGTCACTCATGCAAGTAGGCCCGAAGTCGCCGAGGATGTGGGGACTGAGGCTCACGAGAAAGATGAGCCGAGGAGGAATGAGCAAGAAGGAGGGGCCTGAGGAAAGTCCAAGCGGCCCAAAATCCAAAAAGTGCACCGAGGATGAGACCGACGGAGACACCTGAAAGGAATGGGATGAGGGCCGAGGGATAGCAGTGCACCGGACAAGTAAGGGTGCTAGACAAGGAGATCAGCGAAGAGGCTCCCTCCCTCAAGGACAGCACCCCAACACCACATGCACCTAGAGCTTGAGAGGAACGTCACAGCATTCGTAGTTAGGTGGTCATATATACCAGCGGCATATTGCGGAGCTGGAGCAGCACAAAAAAAGAAAGGTATGCGCCGCTTCTGCGTTTCCCTTTCCCCCCTTTCATTGACTGATGGCGTCACATGATCTCAGCGAAAAATAAGAGACATGTCTGCTGTCCGCTGTTCTAAACACTCGGGCAAAACGGAATGTTTTCCGCTCCCGAAAGCATGATATTATATGGTACAACATTGTGACATTTTGTGTAAATAGATACCCCCGGGCATCAGAAAAAGCCAAGAACTTGACCAAACGGAATGCGACAGGAGTCTGATATATACACGTGAAGAATACAATGCAAACCTGGGGGTGCAAGGACCGCACTTTTGTACACACAATGATCGGCACAAGATTCAGCGGAACGCAAGCAAAAACCTTTGGAATGTCTAGTAGCAAGAAGCAGTAGCAAGTGCATCGCTACTAGTAACAAGTGCATTGAATAATATAGTTCGTTCAATGTGTGGCGTGGTCCAGGGCAGCTGCCAAACCATCGCGAACGAGTTCTCCAGTCGCTACTATTTCATCCTTCCATTGAGTGAGAGAAATGATTTGACGAAAAGAAGCAACAAAAGGCATGCAGCGCATGCATAACACAAGGCATACTTCAATCAACAGGATCCAACAGTCAAAAATCATTCTGCTGTCCTCAATGGGAAAATGGCTCTGTTGCACTTGCAGTTGGCCCAAGCCTGCAGCTTCCATGCAGGAAGCACATGATAATATCACAAGCTGCAAGAACATAGCTTTGACGCAAAAGGAGAAAGGGCCGGACTCGAGTTGTAGCTGACCTCGGCTCTGGCTTTTTGTGGCTTTGGTGGAAAGGGCTGTTCGGTAGAGCAAAGAAGTGTTGCCGCCAAGGTGCAACACTGAAATCCAAGGTGCCACCCCAATCTGAAAGAGACAGCGCCACCTCCGCTCTAGAGAAGTCAGACACAGGTCAGACTAGGCCTTTGCAATTGAGAGGTTTGAGGTGGCAACCATGCGGCTCTGCCCACAGTCCCACACTGCATTGAAGAGCATACGACTTAGTACACAGCACATCTCTGATCTGCTTCTGTTCACTAAGGTGCTGAGACAAAGACTCCAGGCGGACATCATAGCTAAATTCCGGCCGTGACTGGCAAACATGGCAAGCAAATTGTTTACATAGATGGCTTCTGGGCTGAAACCGCTAAATTAAATCGCTGAAATGTGGTGAAAAAACGGACAAACGGAAGCATCCAAAACCTAGTTGTGCGCCTCCAAGGCATTGACAGCATGGATATAGTTCCTCAGCTGTCTGTCACTACCAGCCTTGCCCACTGCTTATCAATGAGCGGCATTGCCGCACCTGATGGGAGGATCAGCTGGAGACGGCAAACGTACCTACAAGCAGTGGTTGCACGTTGTGGTGTGGTCGTAATGGTTCGCCGTCACTTGCCCCACTGATTGGCAATTTCTAAGTGAAAGGCAGTCACAATGGAATAAAGAAGTCGTCGGGAAACGTCGTAGGTAGAGGGCCTAAAGCCAGCCACACATGCTTGATTGCTTCTGTGTGTGTGTGTGTGTGTCTGTGTGCCGTCGCTAATCTGGGGCTGAAACGACATGGAAGATCGATAGTCGTACTCTCTGAAAACCTTTACAGCAATACAGCGATGGCAGCTTGCTGAACACTCGTGCACAAGCTGTTACGCAATAAGCATCCCTCAATCGCACCTCCCATGAAGTTGGGCTGCAGCCCCCTAACACCTAGCGCGTAGGTGGCTTCGGGAGAACACAGCACGGGGCATCGACTACCCTGACATGCTGGCCTCTGTCATGGGCAGCAACGACTCATCCAAACCACAGCGACACAAGGGCAGTTGAAGATACGCCTGCCGAGTACTCAGAATCCGTAAAGGTCAACTGGTTAACTCTTCTTCACCCGTGGGTCTTCGGCTCTCTGAGAACACCACACTTAAGTGTGGTCTGAATCCACACCAACCACACCAATCCCAGAGCCAAAGCTCCATGGAGCATGCACATCGTTCACCAAAGGAACAACTTCCATGTGCACTCAATGCTGGCTGCGGTTTCACTCTCACTGACTTGCCACAGCCTGTGTCTTGTTGCAGAATTGCACACATTCAGTGGCAGTCATAACTTCGCTAATGCCTGCGGATGGTCTTTCTGCACAGCAGAAAACGTTCAAAGTTCAAGCTGAGGTGACAACGTTCTGCATATGCCAAAGGGCTCTCCTTGCCACAGAATTGGGTGAAGGGCTACACAAGAGGTTTGATCATGAGTTTATATGGTTTTGCATCTTCACTGTCTGAAGTCTCTCGCAGTGCGGATTGTCTGAGGTTAAAGCCCACTGGACCAAGAAACATCCAATGCGGACATGCCGGGCTAAACTCCAGCCTACAGGTCGACGCATTCTGGGCCGAAGCTCAACTCCAAACAAGAAAAACAACAAGACTGACAGGGAGGTGCGCAGAATTCCCCCACAAAAATGCAGTGTAAAGGCTTCAAGCCTTCTGCTCAAGCTATCTCAGGCTCATAATGTGGATTTTGAATTAGACTATTTAGACTAGCCTTCTAGTGGGCTGTAGTTCAGGTCAATCTTCGCCTTGGTTGGCCAACTGCGGTGCCAGAGGCTCGGCTTGAAGCTTTACCTAGCCTTGGCAAGCCTTGCTGAAAAAACTTCGCTGCACGCTCCTGTTTCCTACATGTCATCTCCATGCCCTGTCTCTATGGCAACCTTCACAAACTTTCTGCAGCTACCTCTGAATGCCCAACTGAGCTCCAAACCCAGTAGTCATCTACATGAGTGGAGCCAGACTCAGAGTTGTTGAAATTCACTACCTGCCATACTCGTGCTGGTCTCATCAAATCCAGTGGATATGCGTACTTTCGTGCTCCCCCCTTCTCTCTCCCTCTCTGCAGGACCTCTCTCTCTCTCTCTAGCTGTTTCATGTGGTAGGCAGCATCTACTGAAATCCAGGACAGCTGGCACCCTGGTTGGATCATCAAGCACCAGGAGCTGCTGCTCCGAGAAAACTTCGAAACCATGCACCTTAACAACTCTCCGCTGGAGGGCAAATGAACCAGCCGAGGTCAACAAGCAGCCATCGCTTGAAACGCCTCAGAAATTAGAATGTTGGCGGGTCTTAGCCAAGGACGATGAAGCCGGTGAAGAAGTAGACTGCCAAGTACCCTGTCCTGCAACGTGGCGACGTCAGCAAGCTCATCACGCCCCAAGGCATGCTGGATTCACAGGCTTCCCAAGATTTCCCAAGCACAGCAGTCTTCGCCCCTTTTCTCGACAAGAAGGCCCGCTGAGTTTGAACAACTGTCTACCTTTCAAGAGCTTAGCTCATACACGCTGTCTGGTGCCAAGTTCGTTTGCAAGTCTTAGCCATCAACGAAAGCACGCCTCAAAAATAGCGGCTTGCACAAGAAATTCCGACCAAGCTGGGCATTGTGGCAGGGAATCCTGCTGCTCTTGCAAAATGGGCCGCACGGAACTTAGATGGCAAGCGAGCATGACTGCTCCAGTGCATCCTTTAAAATCCAATACAGCCGCGTGTCCACGTGCTGTTCGAAGCACTCGGACAACCATCGATAAATGCCGGAAGCTTACATGCCGTCCATCCCGACGGCCATGCGCATGCACCTCTATCTTGCACATGCACTGTACACCAGTGCAGAATGAACACACACACACACAGAGAGACACAACGCCTCTTTGAACATACGTCAATTTGATCCAAAGATTCCAAGGCTTTCATTCATATTCTTGGAATTTCTTGGATGTTTCCAAAACTGCAATACAATGTGCACATCCCGCACTTCTTCAAGTGTCTTGCACTCTGGCTTCATTCACTTGCACCATGCACGTACGGGAAGCGGACACATTGGCAACTGAGTTGTACCGCCTGATCACAGCTCATTTGTCTTGCCAATACTGTCATATTATATATGTCATATTGATATTGGATCTGAACACTTCCAGTCTGAAAGCACACATGTCGCCAGTTGTCCACCCAAATACAGCACCTTTCAGGAGCTGATCACTGCAAAAAAATACTGCGCTGTCCACAAAACTGGCTGTACTTCCAACTTCGAATACTGCTGGGCAGCACGGGCAAAGCGAAGCTACACCATGAAGCCATCAATCAACATGAAACCCTTTAAACAACAAACATGTTCCATCCTTCTACTGCAGCTTGAAGTCAATCACCTTGCCGCTTAGAATTGCCAAAACCGGCAATTGTCACACTGGGACAATCCTCTGCAGTGGGCATCGCCTGCCCATCTAGCGCAACTTCACAATGTTCTTCCCGGACAGCATTGAAGCGCCCAGCGGGCAAGTCAAGTCCGAAAGACTGCATTTCTACGGTTTTTCCCAATGCTAAGCTACATTGTCAAATCACTGGTTTGCTTGTCAAATCACTGTTTTGCTTGCTGTTTTTGTATTTGATGTGCCTTTGTCTCCGCATCTCAGCAATGCTGCAGTTCAAGTATTCACGCCAGCCCGCACGCCAACTAAACCCTTCATGGACGCCAAAAGCGCCATTTTGTCACTTCATTGCCTCCGACATCGGTCAGCAACAAGGGCATCGCTACTAGGAGCAAGGGCATCGCTACTAGTAACAAAGGGCATTACTGCTAGTAGCATTCTTACTCCCAGGTCCTGGTAACAAGAAGCTACTAGTAGCAAGGATCCTTTTTGAGTTTTTGTGAATACACAATCGCACGCGTGGACACTTGACGTTTGTGAGGAAGCCTGATCATGCATGTCGCTGGTCCCAAGCTTGAAAACTTATATAAGCTGCCTGCACTTGTTGATGGCCCAAGTGGAGATTGATCAAACCGTAATGTATAAAAACCATTTCAAGTGAAAAAACCTTCGGCGCAAAGGCTGCAAGGAAGATGCGGGCAGCAAGCACAGCCAGCTCATCCCTGCTCATCTCTTAGTCACCCCAACAACCCCAAACTAGTTTCAATCTTACCACCACCTGAGAAGGTCAGGAAGCATTGGAAATGGAAGCAAAAACTGCAGAATGATGGAATATGATTGGAATATGAATATGTGAGAAAAAGCCACAAGGGAATGCAATCAATAGGCAACCTTTTCTCCAGCGATTCTGTTGGAAAAACGGCACGGAACAGAAAGCAAAACAAACCCTTCTGTGCCAACGCTGCAAGAAGTATCCGGCCAGCAAACACTGCCAGCTCATTCCGCAGCAATAATTATCAGCGGAATCACCCAGCCACCCGCCACCCCAAATATAATTTCCACCACCCGTCGCCCGTGGTCTCGGAGATTAACCAACCTGAAGGATTTTGGATACAAGTGGAGGTTGCAAGGGTCTTTGTCACCACTGTCGCACAAGTACACTTTTATAAAAGCACGGTCTTAGAATCTGAGAAGTATCCGCATCTTTTAGCTTTCTTCTTACCTTCATGCAGGCATTTTCGAGGGTGACACCTTGCAAAGATGTGTACATGTGTGTGTACCGGCCCCAGCTGGCCTTTAAAGGTTCCCTTCGCACCTTTCTCATCCATAAGCACAACTCCTCGGCATCTCAGTGCATTCTAATGGCAATTTAAGACGACGCCAGAAAGCAGCACAGTTCATCAGACCCAGGCCTCGCTGCCTCAGATGCTCCCGGACTTCATCTGCCTTCTTAAAGTTGGCAGCTTTTCGTGCATCATTGCCTCGAAGGCTTCAGGATGCACTGAGTGCGGTTCTGAAAGCGTTACTAGGATCAAGGCGAAATCCAAGTGCTTCAGATTGTTGAGGGGTAGTGACAAGAATGGGTGTATATAGTTTTTATGGTAATAGTTTTCCTTTTTTTCTGGGCGTTGTTTTCGGGTGTTTTTCTGGGAGTGCTTTAGAAGCATCAGGAGCAGCAAACGGGTCAGGAGAAGAAGCGAGCAAGCGGGAGGGAGAGAGCGAGACAGTGACAAAGGGGAGGGAGAAGAAAAAACATGAGAAAGCAAAGGGGGATGAGCAGCGAGGAAACAGGACAAAGGAAATACTGGGTAGGGCACGCTTAAAAAGCCAAAGGAAAGCAGAAGAGCAAAGCAGGAGAGATCCCTCTAAATTCTAGCCGGGGCTGGCTTCCAAGAGCTATGCTACATCGGGCTGCCTCTATCCTCGCCTAAATGTTAACCTCGAGTGGCTCAAACAAAGTCTGCTACCTTGGAATGGCCCCTGCATCCTCTTTGCGTTCACAAAAGGTCTGCAACGTTGGAATGGTTACTTCGGCTTCTAAATGTTACCTCGCATGGCTCACAAAAGCTCTGTCACGCTGGAGCGGCACGATCCTCCTCTTACCCTCGGGTTCCTCCTCTAAATTTTAGCCCCGGATGGCTTATAAAAGTTCTGCTACCTTGCTCCTCTGAATTTTGTCCTGGTGGCCCAAAAGGTCGGCTCTTTTGGAGAGGTTCCCTACTCCTCCCAATTTTACCCGCGGGTGCAATACAAATGTCTGCTCATTGGAGTGACCCCTTCCTTCTATGAAGCCTGCCCTCTGCTGGCAGCCTGCAGCCTCCTCTAAATGTTTATCTTCGAGTCGCCCACAAAAGGTCCGCTACCTTGGAGCGGCGCTTGCTCCTCTAAAGTTTACTCTTGGGTGGCTCACTAAAGGTCTGCTATTTTTGACTGGCGCCTTTCTCTTCTCAATGGGTCCTGCCTCTTCTCAAATTTTACTCCAGCTGGCTCACAAAAGGTCTGAGTCCTCTAATTTGACCCCCGGCGGCCTTCAAAAAGGTCTGCTACGTTGGCACCTACTTACCTTCCTCCTTTAAAGTTGCCTCTTTGGCGGCTCATAGAAGGTGTGCTACGTTGGGATGGGGCCACTTGCAGCAACACGCGGCCTGTACTGCAAGCAGCACAGCGTTGGAAGCTGGCCACTTGCAGCAACACACGCTCGTTAGACCCTGGCCACTGCAAGCAGCGAAGCTTTGGAAGCCGCTGGTGACGTGCAGCAGCACAGGGTCTTTACTGCAAGCAGCGTACAGGGTCTTTTCTGCAAGCAGCGTTGCTTTGGAAGCTGGCCGCTTGCAGCAAGCAACACACACCCGTTAAAGCCTGGCCTGGCCACTGCAAGCAGCCCAGCTTTGGAAGCTGGCCACTTGCAGCAGCACGGGGTCTTTACTGGAAGCTGCACAGCATTGGAAGCTGCCCAGTTGCAGCAGCACAGCTTTTTCTGAAGCCTGCCCAGAAGCGAAAGCAAAAGCAGAAGCAAGAGCAAATGCAAAAGCAGAAGCAGGAGCAAAGGCAAAAGCAGAAGCAACAGCAAAAGCAATAGATTCAATAGCAAAATCAAAAGCAAATGCAAAAGCAAAACCAAAAGCAAGAACGAAACCAAAGCAAAACCAAAAGCAAATTATGCAAAAGCAGTAGCAAAAGCAAGAACACGTCCTAAAACAAAAACAAATGAATACTAGAAAATTATGCTAAAAACAAATATACATGTAAACAAATAAAAAACTCCGAGAGAAAAACTGGTTCCGACAAGAATCTCTCTACCCCCCTCAGGACGTTGGCAAACCCCCATACCAGAACGAGTCGTGCGGGAAGTCACAAATGCGACCAGACTGCGTTCTTCAATGAGTCGCTCGATCTCCTCATCTGAGGGAGCGCCAGCTGGCCGCTCGCCCCGATTCCTGAAATTGAAATATTCTAGTGGTGAGATACACAACAGAAGATATGAGAACATCTGGTAGGAAAAGTACTAAAGTAACAGTACGCAATTCTTGCAGTGAGGGCCGAACCCAACAAAAGATCCAGATCCAGGTAGCGGCGATGGTTTTGCTGGAATCTCCGGCCCGAATGTGCCTTGAAATTGGCTTATTGGCTCGAAAAGCATCTCAAATCGCAAGTCTTCTAGACCAAATAATTCATCTATAGTAAAAGATTTGACAACACAGCACCCACCTTTCTTGGAGATCTTCACCTCCAACTCAGGAATCGGTTTCCCATGCTGGTGGCAAAAGGCCTGCGGCCAGCATGTGTCACTGGACTGGGATCGGTTAGGCAAAAGTACACACTTTCGAATCAAAAAGGTGCCTTGTAGTCTGCGTGAACCTTCTGCAACTGCGTTTCAGCGTATTGCACTGCCTGCGGGAACCAAGAGGATCACAAGTGTCAATAGATCTTCCACTTTCTGCTGGTTGGCCTTGTCAAAAGCTGCCTGGTCCCGACAAGAAATGCAAAGTGCCAAAGGCTCCTCAGGTCTGGAGAAGCACCAGAAATGCATATTGCAAAACATGCGCCAAACGGTGAACGCTACTAGGAGCAAAGGGCATCGCTACTAGGAGCAAGGACACTACTAGGGGCTCCTGGCCTTGCTACTAGGAACAAGAACGCTACTAGGAGCATCCATCAAAAGTCCGGTCCAAACTGCCAAGTGTCATCTCCCTCGTGGGGCCCACCAATACCTTTGCCACGCAGCCTGGTCTTCCCGCCGTGTTCTTGAAACTTCGGATCCTGCATGGAATTTGACATAACTTCTACAGTATATTAACTATCAGTCTCTGAGTTCTTCCAAGTTTGCGATGCCAAAACCATAGCATGTCAGTGCTCAATCACCTGCCAAATGGATCGCGCAATTTGGATCACCCTGCTGCCAACGCGAAACTCACCCTCGTTCTCCTAGGCCAGGACCAAAGGCAAAAGGGGCGGTGAAAGCTTCTCAAAACGTGTCTGTTCCGTTGCCCAAGAAAACACGGTTGCGGCCAAATTACAATACCCACTTCAAGTTTGCAGGTGAACTTCTTTGGCTGGCCTGATGCAAAGTTCACATTGACTAGCAAAGATTGAGGTTCATAACAATGCTCGTATGAGTTTTGGTTAAGGTTGCCTGCAGCAGACTGAGATGGGCTCGTTGTGGCAGGGGGCATCGTGGGCATTTGATAACCTAGACTGACTGTCTGACTCGCTCTGAAACAAGCCAATAAATTCAATGTTGGCCTGGTCCAGGAGGCATCATCGGGTTCATGAATGGATTCCTCAAACTTCGGATTCTGTGGATGACTCCCGTAATGCCTAATGCCAAACTATGTAAAATTACATACAGCATTGGTCAAAGCAGGAGAAAGTGTCAAAGCCGAGAGGCGATGCTGCCGCCATGTGCTGCAGCAGTTGAGGGTCCGGTGCTGGAGGTACAGCATTGTATCCTGCTTTTGCGAGGGGTGAGGTTGTCCCAAGTGTACCTGCAATTCCGTCCTTGAGGATAGGCAAACTCCACAGTCAAGTATGCCCCAGACATACCTGCCAAAAAATCAAGTCTAGTTTCAACGGCTAACCTGTCTCGCGAAGAAGTCCGCAACTTCAAGCTAACGCGGCCTCGCCTGCAAGCTGCTTTTTATCCAAATCATGTTGAGCTGCCATCGCTTGGTGGGGCTGCGCAAATTGAACCTGATACACGAGAACAAGTAGCAGCAGAACTGCATGGAAACATGTGTGTGTATGTATATATAGATAGATAGATAGATATATATATATATATATAGCCGTGATCTAGCAGCTTCGCAGGTTGCCTGCGAAGTAGTCCCCTCTCGGTCCATTTTCACCAAGACAACATCGCCGTAGCGCGAGAAAACCTCCCAGAACCAGCTTTGACTGGCAAGCTCAAAGCCCTTGCAAGAATCATATGCTTGGCACGGTGGATGACACACCTTGCGTACATCGTCCTCTGTCAGCTGATACTCGAATTTGAGCCCATCGACTCGTACCGTCCTCAAGTTCTCATGAGTTCTCCACAGCGGAGAACAACACTGCAGGAAAAGACGCACAAAGCCACGCAAAGAACTGCTGCCCAGAAGCAACCATGGAGAGACAACCGGTGGAGGTGGACTTGCCCACCTGAACATCAAAACGTCAATCTCCAAGTGTTATTTTATTGAAATCAAAGCTGTCACATAGACCCCTACAAACTCTGCTTAGGCTGGAAACGGCATTGGCATGTTGGGCATGCCAGGCATTGGTGGCATTGGGGAGCCCATTGCCATGGATTGCCACCTGAGCATTGCGGAGCTTGCCAGGAAGCAGGAGTTGGTGTTCGACACTCTAAGCAACACACATCATCGCGGCCAGATTTTGCCTAGGCCGTGAACACAACCACGCACACACACACACACTCTGACATTGGTATTCAGTTACACTCAGTTCCCACGTTGGGAAGGAAGGTGATGGAACGGCATGGCGAAAGAGTCGGCAAGAACTGTATGGTTGAACAATGTTTGCACTTTGACAGTCAGTGTGGTTGCAAGTCTGCTGCAAGTCTGCGGTGGGAAACCTGTTTGAGGGGAGAGTATCGTGATCAAACACCATGGCACCAAACCACAGCAAGGAAGAGTGGGGTAGTGTCACGAGCAGGTACACGGAAGTGATCAGCTTCCGCTTCCTAGGATCTTGCAAGGAGCTTCGTTGGGCAGAGCCTTGCAAGTCCTCTCTGCCCCCCTGTTTTGGAAAATGGTGGTGACGGTAACGATGCCAGTGAACCCTTTGGCACAGGGGGTGACACACACAAGGTGCCGCTTCGCGGCGCGCATGTGGAAAACCTAAATAGTCACCTAAAAAGCCTTAGAAACAAGAGAAAAGAAAGACAGAAAGAGCAGCGCTAAGAGGGCAAGAATAAAGAAAGATAGGTGTAGGAAAAATGAATACTTAGCCCTTGACTGGGGTAGGGAAACGAGCCTCAAGAACAACCTAAAAAGCCTGAGAGAAAGCCCAAGAAACGACCGAAAGCGTAAGAAGGAAAGCGGGGGGCAGGGAAGTGTATGTACATGTGTGTGTCCGTGTGTGTGTGTGTATGAATACTTAGCCCTCTAGAGTTACTGATTACTTAGCAGAAATGAATTACGTGCAATAGCTAGGGAGCGGGACTTTAGTCTTAGACCGCCCGGGTAGGAAAGACTAGAAAAGGAACAACACAGGGAAAGGCACCGACACACAAGTGTGTCGAGTACCATTTCCCTATGTTGCCCTAATTAGGTAGGGAGTAGAACTCAGCTGGGGGGGGGGGTTGGGAAACCTGCCTCATTGGGGGTAGAGTACCGTTTTATAGCCCGGCGGCTGACCAAGTAATCCCGTGTTTAGGCCCGGCGGCCGTTGAGGCAGTTAATTCGTTGGAAGTGGATGTGAATTCCAGTGAAATTCCGGTGAGCGGTGGTGAGTTCCGTTAATGATTTCCCAATGAAACAGCGCCCCAGTGACGGGGATCACACTCAGCACCCGAGTGGGACGGCTGAGCGAAACACACTCTGACATTGGTATTCAGCTACACTCAGTTCCCACGTTGGGAAGGAAGGTGATGGAACGGCATGGCGAAAGAGTCGGCAAGAACTGTATGGTTGAACAATGTTTGCACTCTGACAGTCAGTGTGGTTGCAAGTCTGCTGCAAGTCTGCGGTGGGAAACCTGTTTGAGGGGAGAGTATCGTGATCAAACACCATGGCACCAAACCACAGCAAGGAAGAGTGGGGTAGTGTCACGAGCAGGTACACGGAAGTGATCAGCTTCCGCTTCCTACTAGGATCTTGCAAGGAGCTTCGTTGGGCAGAGCCTTGCAAGTCCTCTCTGCCCCCCTGCTTTGGAAAATGGTGGTGACGGTAACGATGGCAGTGAACCCTTTGGCACAGGGGGTGACACACACACACAGAGCTTCTTGCATTGCATGTTCTTTTTGCTGGACGACTTTTCATCAAGACCAAACCGGATGACCTGGGTGTCAATACCAGTATAGTCTGTACACCATTCTTGGCTTGTCTGGCACAAAATTTCGAACAATAGTCCCCGCCAGGGTCTACTGGAGAAGCTGTTCAATCATACATACCCCCCGGCCCCTCATCTCATTTAAGTTCTGTCAGAAGTGCTGTTCCTGGCTCATGGCCGGCGCTTGTTCCATCTTTGGCGTATCGAAATGCCTTCCAAATGGAGCTGAGAACAAGCACGTGCATGTTCAATGAGCTCAGCAAGACCTGGCCTGGCAAAACCCCTACGCCTGCAACACGGTACAAATAAGGGCCCAAGTGAGCACCTTGGCACCCCGGGTCTTTGAGCCAAAACGGGTGGCGAAGTTGCGGAAACTCTCAAAGCCTCTCAGATCCGATTGGCAGAAAAAATGACTTGAAGTGGTTTTCGAAGCCACAACAACCCTCACCAAACAATAACTGATAGCGCCTCCGTAACTTCCACCATTGGAACATCACTGAAACTGCCTGACGCGAGGAGCTGATCTGGATAAAGCTTTCGACAAGGGTTGAAGCGGTTGAAGCTGATGAAAGAATGGAGAAAAACATATAAAAACTATCAGAGAGGAGAATGGAGAATGGATCTGAATAATTTCAATTGAGTTCATGTCTCAAGAACTCTGTGAGTCATCTTCCTGGTCATCTTCCTGATTTACGCAGCTCCTGGGCACTTTTTCCCGACTCTTCAACCAGCAAGCCACTGCAACAGGAGAGCATTGAGTTACGACAGCTATGTACAGATTTTGACTCATCTCTTGACGTTCTTGAGGCACTGCGGATGTGTTTTCTGCTGCGGCGTCAAGGTTAAATACAGAAAAGGGTCCCATCATCCCATCAATTCCTATCCGGACAGGCGTTCCCTTCGAGAGCTTCTTGAATTCCTTTCTCCTCACCAGTTGCATCACCATTTGGTCCACTCCTGGACTCAACCGTTACGTCGCCTCAGCCTGAGGCACCATCGCACTTCTCAGAATGGACTTCCCGCACTCGAAATTCCAACTCCTCCACGTTAGCGGTCTCACATTCCACACACAAATCCTTGCAACAGGCAGAGGGTGCAAAGGGTGCGTTCGTCTCGACACCTCTTTTTTTGCATCAGTTCTCTGCAGTCTGCACCGTGGTTTCCAATTTGCATGGAGTTGTTGCAATGGTTTGGACTCATGCCTCAGCCACACCATGCAACCGAGTATCTTCAACACGCTCATGCAAACGTGCCCTCTTTCCATCACTACAAGCAAATAGACGCTCGGGAGCTGCAAGGAGTGCTATGCAATTTCCAACGCAAAGTTCCAGGCCTCAGCGATATGATATATTATGTGTATATACATATGTCCTTGAAACGCTAGTAGTAACAGGTGCCACGCTAGTAGTAACAAGTGCCTTACTAGTAGTAACAATGTTTGCTATTAGAAACAAGCCTTTAGCCCGCTCCCCCCCTGCCCATTAAGTAGGCGCCTACTTGATTAAGTAACCGACTAGTAAGCTACTAGACTAAGTTCGCTCCTGGGTAGGATAGCTCGCGCTAATGATTTGGTTTCTAGATTTTTAGGCTATTGAGTGTTTACGCAACTTTAAGCAAACCCTAAGCAACTGCAAACCTTAAGCAAGTACAGCCAAGACTTTATTAAACTAACCTTTTCTGTTTAGAAAACACTCTCTGAAAGTCTATGAAAACATTAAAGTTAATGGAGTAGTAAGTCTATGAAATAACTACTGTAGCTCCGTCAACCAAAACTCTTTCATCGCCGACTGTTTGGAGGTTCTTTTGAACCTGTTACTCTGTGACGTTTCCCAGCATGGGCCGCGTTGTCGCAAAATTGTCATCCTTTTGACAATAATCTTAGTGTTGCTCTCACGACAAGGTGGGGTGGGTGGTTTTCACCGTTATCACAACCTCCCCACGTTTTCACTGCATTGATAATGTCGCTGTCTTCACAAGAAGGATTGAAAGGGGGACAAGGCCAGAGAAAACTCGCACGTCGGTGCAAAAGTAGAGCTCAATAGGTGGTGCATCTGCCTGGTGGATGCAAGTTCCAGATCCTTTGATGCCACAAGTTCTCTTGCAAACACTTGGTTCCCAATAGGCGCCAGCATAGCACAAGCACTCTTCTTCCACAGCCGCTTCAGCTGGACCAGCTGGACGCAAGCGGCGCAAAGCTCAGATGCCCAGCCACAGCTGAGAAGGCCCGACCAAACTAGCCAATTCTGCAAGGTCTATGCCTATGCATATGGAGTTGCTTGGACTGGACGCTTGAATGCAAGTGTGATGGCGCAAAACTTGTCTGTGGAGACAAGGTTTATATACTTGCTTCTTATCAGCTGGGAAGGCCAAGTGAAATCCTGCAAGTGCAAGCCCTGGAGCTTGCTCTAGGGAGAAGCGGCATGAACTGTGCACTGTGGGGAGCCACACAAAAAGCATGTTGTCTATAGTTCCCCAGTGTGAATGCATTTTGTGACTACATTCCCTGGAAGCGTTATTTGCTTTTTGTGCAGGTGCATGTGGAAACCCATGATGACATGCCCCATAAGCTGGCACAAATGGGGCACTGGAGAATCAAACCAATCCTCCTCGAGATGACCTGACCGACCCTCGCCGCTTTTGGGACTTTGCCCCGGCTTTGTTTTTGCTGTCCATGCCCCGTCACCGCCGTATGCGTTTGTCGTTTGCGAGTACGTCATGCAATGTGTTTGTGGTATTTGTGGTGTTTCCAAGTACTAGCATGGCCACTGGGATGTATGTGGCAATGCATTGCATGTCATGTTGTGACGCAAGATGGGGTGGGGGGGATGGGTTGAGGGTGAATGACGTTCATTTGGATGCGCTGCTAGGATGATGCCGCATGCATGGGGCGACGCTTGTTACCGCCCCAAATGAAGAACAGAAGCAAAGTTTCTGTGAACAAATGGTTCTGGGATCGAGTGTGTCATGTTGTACCGACATAGTCGCCCTCGAAGAAACCAGCAGCAAGTTTACCGTGAATGTCATTGAAACAACCTTGCGTTGTCCTTCCTCTGAAATAAACTTCCCAAATTGTACCAAAAAACTTTGCTTTGGACTTGAACAAAAAAAATATATATATATATATGTGTGTGGCTTCCTTAGTCCGGACACGAAAACAGCAACGTGACACACCTTTTGAGATACAATGGGTGCCTGCTCACTGCTATGAACACCTCCCGATTGAGTGTATCTCAGAGGTCATGGCTGCATGCAAACAAATCGACGGTGCGTCATATTGCTCACAACCGAATCGCTGATCTCACAGCAAAAGAATATGCTAGCACTATGTCACTAACTCTGCGGTAAGTCCTCATATCCAACATGGCGCAGATGCGGCTATCGAACGATGGTTGGCTAGGCTTCATGAGTTGCTGCCCACAGATACTTCGTTGCTTGACTCGAACCTACCTGAGCCAGAAGAATATGTGGACTCGATGCTGCTCCGAACACAATTTCCACAGTGGGCATCGAGTGCCAACATTGCATCATACAAGTGGAAGCCGAAGATTCCATTTGGCTTTCCAAAACCCACACGATGGGATGGTTCCGCTGCTGAATGGGAAGTTGTATGTGATTCTGAGTGATTCTTGCGTAACTTGCGATGTGCGAGCTCACTGTCCTTTTTCACCATCTTGGTTATCAACTTGGGGAGGATCCACAAAGGTCTACACACCTTGATTACCACAGAAAGTTACGTCATGCCATTGTGTTGCTTGGACGAGCTGACGAAGTGCAAACTACTCCTGGTGAATATTCGGCGTCACTTGCTAAGGCGGCAGGACGAACTATGCCTCAAGGGTCGGTCGTTGGAGCTACCGTTTTTATTGATGATGCTGCATTGGTTCACTTGGCACGTGTTTTTTCGAGAGGTGGACGTACGCTGGCCACATGGGATGCGCCGCTTCTTTAAATCGCTTTTTGATGCATGCTTGCTGGATCGCCCGAGGCTGATCCTTGTCATGTCGGGGTTTCCTTTTGTACACAGGTCAGGGTACCTGGTACAACACCGGGCACGTTTCCCGTGCAGATCCCGGTGCGCGTAGTGATATACACTGGGGTGCCAAAAGTTGCGCTTCTTGACTTCTAAAACATCACAAACCCTTTCCCCTTAGAATCCTACGTGCAACATGTCGACACCTCAGTTGCGGTCGGATTTCCACACCTGAAAGCCTTATAAATATTATAAATTTAAACGGGTGTGGAAATCTGACCGTGCTGTACCTGCCACGCAAAATGGACGTGTTAATCCGATCCGCTGTAGACCGCAAGTGTCATGTTGGAACAGAGTAAGAAGCGTAAACTTTAGGGTTCTTGAAGGGTGCTGTTTGTGTTTTTAAGAAGGTGCTGGAAATAACATAAGTT